ACAGAAAATTATATGGTGATAGTTTATCAATGTAAAGTTGTCCTCATTTTTTGCTGACATAATTATAAATAAAATTATTTTTTTGAAAGTATTGTCTTTTTTAATACTAAGATAGTCAAAATGCAACATACCTCGAGCCAAATAATTTTCAAAATTGGGCCAACAGCTGAAAATGGACCAGAGTAACCCAAAAATAGCTTTCTCACTCTAGAATTCATCCTCTCTCTCTCTCTCTCTCTAATTGGGTGCTTTTTAGGGAAGGAATGAAAATGATTTTGTGAAAAATAATATTTTAATATAAAAATTTGGTTGAGTGTCGTAATGCCCAATCAGGGGCACCATTGTTGTCCCTCTCGGAGCCCATAGCGCCATAATGACCCCCAATGCCACAACATGAATTAATTACCAAAAAGATGGAGAGCTCAAAGCTGCAACACTGTCAAGCCAAGCATTACAGCGTCCCAGAGAGATTTTGTTAGATTATGCAAATAACCAGGACCCGCTTCAGACACATACAGATTTCCACATGCATACAAAATATTCTTAAACACATGGATAAGGATTCAAATGCAAATATTCAGTGGATTATCTTGAATCGAATTGGGTTAGAACATGTAGAGTTGTATATTGATTTGTTTGTGTCATAGAAAGCAACAAAATGCTCCTAAAAAATAATATGAGTGTCATAATGAATTAGATCTAACCCGGTTGCAGGGTAAAGCATGCAATCCAATGGTAATACAGGCGAAGTAGAAAATAGTTGGGCCATCAAGCAAAAATTAAGAGGATAGCACCATGTTTGCCAATGCAAAATAGTGGCCATCCAGGATTGGTGTGGAGCTGAGCTTCATCATAGTTCAACAAAAATTAAAGACCCCTGAGAAAATTAGAAGCCAAATTAAGGGCATGATTCCATAAGCCCTAAATGTGCTAACTAATAAATATTTAATCTCATTATAACTTTTCCATCTTATGACATTCAAATATAAAGCCCACAAAATCTCATAATATAACATATTCAAAGAGTGTTCTTGTTGTTTGAACAATCTAGCATTTCATTCTTGAAAAATAAAATAGATAAGTAAATATATTGTAAGTTTGTAAGCATTAATCACCTTAGGGTTATGACAAAGTTGTAACAATCTAAAATGTGAAAATGATTTTAACTAAAAAAGTAATTTTATTTTTGAATTGGAAGTGCTACAATGTTGTACTTATGAGCGCTGCAACATTATGCTGGAGAGCACATGCAGTGGCCCTGGAATCACTGTCACGACATTAGAGGCTCTGTTTTACAATAACTCTGAAGTGGCATGCAATGCTAAGGTTGTGGGTCAGAGCACTGTGGTGCTAGGCCTTAAAAATAATTTTTTAATATATTTTTCTCTAAATATCCATCATCACCACCATCCCTCCCCTCACTCTCATTTTATTGGCCTAGAAGGAAAGGAAAGAGGGGGAAAGGGAAAGTAAGAGAAGAAGGAGAGAGTGAGAAAAGAGAAAATATGTGAGTGCTTTTTTATTCGTCATTCATGCTACGAAAATTATTCTGCGCATTATACGTGACCAAATTCTTACTCCTATTTTTTATGGTTTTGATTTTAATTAAGTTTGTCTCTCTTAAATCTGTAAGAAAATGCATTATCTTCTGATTTCATAAGTTTTCACCATGTAACTTTTGATATATTATATATTTAATCATTCTAAATGATTTAATTTGATTTTATTATATTTTCACTAGTTAAATATGTGCATAAAATTGATATTAAAGGAAAATGATTGATATTATAGTAATGAAATGTAATATATACTAAAATGATTGATATGTACTGGAATATGATTGAACAAAATAATTGGTATATATATTAGAATTAGGAAGCTAGAAGGCTGAAATGTTATATCATGTAATGTATTGATTGATATCAAATATATGATATTATAACCTCATGTGATGCTCTCGAGATCCACATGATTCACTGATGGGAGTTATAACGAGCTAGAGACTAATAGGTAGTCATAAATATAAGAGCAAGAACAAGACATTGATATTGGTGTACTTTTCTTTTAGTTTTTCTAATTTATGTGTATTCTTTTGTATCCTGTGTGACTATTGTACATATAATTTTGGGACTCTAGATATAACATATAAATATTGATTATAGTAATGTGAATTATATTTTTTTTTTCTTGTTGTTAGAACTAAATAAAATTGGTTAGAAAATATTAGAAAGACTATTCTTTATTAGATCTAAATGAGAATTTGATTCTTAACAAGGCATAATGGAGAAAAGAATTTATGTAGCCGACTCCACATAGTGGGATAAAGGCTTGATGTTGTTGTTATTTTGTTATTGTTTATATTTCTTTAATGTAATTAATCAGTTATAGATATCAAATTAATATGATTGTAAATGACTATTGGCTGTTATTTGAAATAATAAAAAAATTAAATGAATGAAAAAAAGAAAAAAAAAAATAAATTATTTCACTTTAGATACCAAGGCGTGATAAACAATCATAGAGGTCGAATGGAAGATGCCTTCATCAGTGCAAATCTCTCCGATGGAATTGTAATTTTTCCTTCCTTTAATTTTTCAATAAAGAAATCTCAAATAATCTTCCTCCCTACTAATCCATTTAGGTTTCCCTCTTTAAATAATCTAAGAAGACTAAGTCGTGTAGGAAGAGGAGAGGGATTCTCCATTATCTACAACTTTTGCATTAAGCTCATGATTTAAGGAGTCTTCATTAAGGAGAATGTAACCATTTGCCTAAAGGGATTTTGACTCCTTAATTCTCATTAATAGGAAGTTAGAAGAAATCTACAAAGAATATTTAATAAACACATTTAACTTGTTCATCTTATGATATAGATAACATATAGAGTCTAGGATGGTGGAAGGGTTGCATAAGGTAGAATAAAGCAAATTCCATAAGAAGGGGATCTTGGGCTAGTAGTTTTTAAACAGGAGTATGTGCTTATGATTGGCAATATGGTGAGTGTGCACAATGATAGGTGAGTGGTCAGAACACATGGATCTCTTAACATTATAATAAACAATATGGAAGATGCCAAGACGCTCTTCATTGACAAGGGCACAATAAAGCTTAATATGAATTGGATAGTTATTTTTATTATTGGAACAAGTGAAAAAAAGGTATAGTGGAAGTAAATTCCTTTAAATAAGTGTTGTATATCATGTTGTTGAAGTCCCATAGGCTAGAATTAGGGGAAATATTGCTGCCGCTTTTTTCATTTGGTTTCTATAACAATTGAAGTCACCTAGAACAATCCAAGCGTTGGAGTATCTATTTATAAAATTTTGAAATTTTTTAGAGTATCCCAAAGTAATATTCTTTCAGATCTATTATTGAAAATATAAATCACAACTAGCATAAAAGTGATTGAATTAATTATCAAAAAGGGCTTCTCTATATGAAATGGAAGAAATTTCATCACAGAATTATCCCATTCGACCAAGATTCTACTGGGGAAGAGTAGTGGAAATTATAAACACTATCTTCCTAAGAAAAGAATTTGTGATTATGAAGAAACTATAGATTTGAAAGCTGAGCTTTTGAAATTTTGGCTTCATGAATATAAATTTATAGAGGATTGAGGAGTGGGAAAAACAAAGGTTAGGGTATGCGGATCCGGTGGGTTGATGTGAAGGACAAGTCACGGGGGTGAATTGAGCCAATAAGTAGCAATTTATGGAGAGAGGCAGTCGTGTGCCCGTTGAGGGGGTTGTTGAAGGACGAAGTGGAAGGCATAGGAGATTTCATGGCAGGTGGAAGTAAAAAATTATTGGCAAAGCTGGTGGAGAAGAGGGAAGATGTCGGTGCCTCAGGAAGAAGGAGGAGAAGAAGAAGGGGCATTAGGACATCCACCAATTATGTAGAAACTAAAATCTCCTTCAATTAAATATTAAGCCCATTTAAAATTCTTAACGTATGAGACTATCTCTATTATCATATAGAACTATAATGTACAAATTGTTTATTCATAAGTATTCATCACTTGAGATACTTTAAAATATGTAATAATTTACATTATTTTATTAAAATTTTCCACATAAATGCCTATGCTCTCTCTTCATTATGGAAAATTATTAGGTCCGGTCATCGGACGTAGAGATACATCCGAACTTCAATAAAATATTGACATGTGGAATGTACACGTGTCCGCGAAATTTTAAGTCAAGCGCGTCAAAAGTGTAGGTAAAGCGCAGTCAAAGCACAATTAAAGCGTAGTAAAAAAAACACAGTTAAATCGCAGCCCATGTATCAAATTTTAATTGAATATCCGGACCTATATCTACATCCGATGTCCGGACCTAATTATTCCCTTAATTGCCCGTTTAAATTCTTATCAATGCTTAAAAGCTTAAGTTATTGCAAATCTTTGCTATAACTAAAAACATTAGATGCCTTGATTCTATTAATTTTCGTAGATTCCTTCAAACACGATTCAATACCTACTATGAGCTTTTGACACGATTAATGTCACATTAAGAGACATAAATAAATAAAATAACGTGGCTAAATAACATACACTAATTTCTAATTTTAAAAATCATTTACCCAAACATTTATAATCAAGCAAGGCATGCGATATTTGTGGATGCCATCATCATCTTATCGCGTTTCATCGATAAAAAATTTGTATTTATTCGCTTGAAAAGACGTGCATCCCTATCAGAAATCATCTGAATTTTTTTTTTTATCAAAATATTCTTTTATATTTCAAAATAATATATGTTTTTAAATTTCAGCCTCCAAAATTATTCTGCTTTTGCTGTGCTTGCAATCATAATAAGAAACAGTTCCTGCCGCTGTGAACTCCTACCATTCCTATCTTATCCTAATTCCTAAGAGCCTATGTATATTTATTTATGAAAATATATGCATTAATCTACCAAATGACACGTGTGAGTGATCTGAGCAGATAAGATTATTTCAGATGTTTATATATCCCAGATATCACACAGTAGTACTACTTAGCCACCACATATAAAGGGCAAAAAAAAGAAGAAAATCATTCTCTCTTCTTTCTTTTAGTTTGAATTTCTCTCTTCTGTTGCTGTGCGCTTCAATACTTCCTGTGTAGTGTGATGGCTCTCTCAAACTCTAGTCGGCAGAGAGTATTTACCTTTGGCAAGGGGAAAACCGAAGGGAACAAAAGCATGAAAGCTTTGGTGAGACCTTCCAGCTGTTCAGCTAGCTGTAGCTATGGAAGATTAATTAGTTAAAAATTTTGCTTTTTATATTAAAATTATGATTTTGTGTAGTTGGGTGGCAAAGGAGCGAATTTGGCTGAGATGGCGAGCATCGGATTGTCTGTTCCTCCAGGCCTGACCATATCGACTGAAGCCTGCAAGGAGTATCAGGAGAACGGTCGTGAGCTTCCGGCGGGGCTTTGGGAGGAGATAATAGAGGGATTGGAATTTGTTGAGAAGCAGATTGGCGGATCTTTAGGAGATCCTTCTAAGCCTCTTCTGTTCTCTGTTCGATCTGGGGCTGAAGTACGTACGTCTGCGCTAATTAATATTCATATATTTGATAATGAATTAAATGTTTAATTTATTTCTGAATGAAATAGATATCAATGCCTGGGATGATGGATACAGTATTGAACTTAGGATTAAATGATGAAGTGGTGGTTGGATTGGCTTCGAAAAGTGGCGAGCGATTTGCTTATGACTCTTATCGCCGATTCCTTGACATGTTTGGAGATGTGGTAGAGTTGCTCAGACTTATCTCTACCAATTTCTTCATCTTCTTTGTTTGTTGCTTTTCAATTAGCGTTTTTTTAAGTCTGATTCTCATGAATTCTTATTATTTAATTATATAATATTTAAATCATTAAACACATTAAAAGTGTTATTAATATTTAAATTTTAAAATAAATCATACTTTTGTCACATACGTATATATATGTAGGTGATGGGCATTCCGCATTCACGATTTGAAGAGAAGCTTGAAGCGCTGAAGGCGTCGAAAGGAGTGAGCCAGGACACAGAGCTCTCTGCTTCCGATCTCAAGGATTTGGTTTCTGAATACAAAAAAGTTTATGTCGAGATCAAGGGGGAGCAATTCCCTGCAGGTATACGTGATCTTCTTTTGCCCTAAGTTTTCATGGATTCTGGCATCTATCTCTTTATCCCCAACTTATTTGGTTAAAAATTCATAGTTTATTAAAATACATTTCTACTTTAATCAACCAATAATGCTGAGCTCTTTCAGTAGTTTTCATAGAGTAAGAATGGCTTGAGACGTTTAGCATACATTAAATGATATATTAGGTTTCCCTTCCCCCTAGAATATGAGAAAACACTCGACTTAAATCATATGGATGGTAATCTTTTGGGAAATTTACTTGCGTGGGATCACTCGCTATTAGGATCTGTTTAGGAGATTTTGCCTTCAACGGTAACAACTATTCGCATTCCAATATTTACAATTGTTGGTACTCTAATAATTAATTATTTTTATTAGATTGTTTATAAATTAGGGGTTAGGGTTTTGTTATGAAGTTATCTTTCAAGATATGGGACCAAAAATCCACCTAAAAATACTTTCATAACAAACTTCCTAACAATCCCTCATAATTTTGTCATTAAATTATAACTTCTTTTTCACGCAACAAGCTTTATGAATATGAAAAGTCATATCCTATTTTGAACTCTCTATTAGAATAAATATCTTGACTTTTTAATAAATAGCTATTGTTTGTTTTTTGGATTGAACCTTGACTTCAAAAATTAATATATAACACTTAACTTGATTTCCAACTTTATAAAACTAAAATTAGGAGCTAATCTTGGCAATATTACAAGAAGTCATCAGTTATCAAGTTGAAGCGATGTCACTTCTATGTTCATACTAATAAAGATCTTTGATTCCTTTGACGTTAAGAGCCTTTTTACAAGCAACCACAGTAAGAGCTTTACTTCCTGCTCTTAATTTGTAAGTGGTCGTGGTAAATAGTTTGGAATAAGGAAACTAGCTCTTTACAAGCTCAAATCGACAAATTTTCTTTCCCATTGAACTTTAAAATTAGTTTTTATTAATTTAAAGTTTGGTTAACATTTCTAGTGGCTGTTTTTGTGGATTTAATCATCATTTTAGTTATTATACTTAAAAAATATATTAAAAGTCATTTTGTAAGGCATCAATTCGATTATTTCTTGATCTCACTAAATTATGATTTTTGCATCAATTGAGATTGATTCTAAAATATACTTATATATTAGGATATATCTAGGTTTACCATTATACATGACAACGAGTACATCATCAAAAAATCAACTTGATCCGGCACGGCTCGAATTTTGAGGCATATTTGAATTGAAAACTTCAAAATTAAATTCAAAACCATCTAATCTTTAATTTCAGCAAAATTATAGTCGAATTGAACATCTTGACGAGAGGAACCCAACAACACAAAAGATGTTCCAATTCGAACCTGAATGAGCCCAAATCAAGGGTTTGAAGTGTAATTGAAAGCTTCAGGTTATAATTAGATTAGGGGTGTCAAAACGGGTCAATGGGTGGATTCAAATTTGACTAAAAATTAACCTGACCCCAATCTAGTCAACTTGAACCCGACCCGTTTAATAAACGGGTAAAAAACTTAAACCTAATCGGACCCATTTTAATTAAAAAAAGTATTTTTATTATCTTATTAATCATAGAATTTCGGTTGATTAAAAATAAGAAGATTTTACCAATAAATAAAAGAATTTAAGAAAAAAAATTAAATGTGTTATTTAGGGTCAAAATCAGATTGGCAGACCAACCTAAACCCATATTTTTTGGGTCTACTTCTGGTCGGGTTATTTTTTGGCACCCCTAAATAAGCTGACCAAATCATTTTCAAATTTGGCATAATTATGATCAAATTAGGTGGCTTGATGTGACGAATTCAATAGGCCCAAGATTGTTTAATTCTAACATCATTAAAGCACTTAAATGTTGCAGGAATTTTTTATGATCAATGGAATCAATATAGGTTGTTTGATGGAGTGTTTTGAATTTTTTTTATATTTATGGGAATGACACTCTCAAAAATATATAAATTGACCCACACTCTCTACATGAAGGGAGAGTTGGAATTGGAAGCTTAAACCCTTAGACGAGTATTTAAGAGAGTTCTAAGGCTCTAAATGTCCCAGAACACCACCAGAGTACCATCATTGAGCCTTCATTGACCAATTAATACAATCACTCCAACCTCTGTCGCCTGCCTATTATTATCCTGGACCACTATCGCCTGACTATAGTCCTTGGACCACCGTTGTTCCACTACAAACCTCATCTTACTAGAGTCTTCTGACCACCACTGCCCGATGATGGACCTTCCAACCTCAGTCGTCATCGACTACAGTCCTTTCGATCATTATCGCCCACTAAGTCATCGTACTACCGTCATTCGATTATGGTACTTAAACTATTGTCACACTATTATGGTCCTTTCGACTTCCACCGCTGCCGACTACGATCATTTCAACCTCAAACGCCTGTCGATGCGTCGACTATGATCCTTTCGATCTTCATCGCCTGTCGGCAATGTTTAAAATTGCGTATTCGGGTATTGAGGCGTTTTTCATTTGTGAGGCGAGGCGTAAGCCTCAAGGCGTTTTGATGCGTAAGCCTCAAAATCAAAAGATTGCGTAAACATAAAATGATAAATTTTTTATATACTAATGAGTGAATAATATAAAACATAAAAAAGCATAAAATATGAAGTGAAATCAAAATATCTCAATAATAAGATAACATGAAATATAGTTCAACTCAAAATTCAATCTTTCTCAAATTCCAGTATTCTTTTCATTAATATATAATTCCAATTTCAAAAAATAAATAGCAATGACATATCACATAAGAACCCATAAGTCATCAGCACTGTCATCACTAAGGGGGTTCTTCATTTGAATCATCATTATGGTGAACTGCTCTCTCCCCTTCCTCCTTTCCTATAGAGTCCAATGTCGAGCATTTACTTCAAGATTTATGTAAGTTTTAATATATATAGCGTGAGGCGTAAGCCTCATGCCAGTGAGGCGAGGCGGGCCTCAACCAAATTGAGGTGCAAGCCACATAAAAAAACTCAATGCGTAAGCATCGAGGTGTTTTTTTACTGGAATTGCGCAAAGACGGGCCTCAAGGCGAGCCTCATATTGCGCAATTTTAAATCATGCCTGCCGGCTATAGTCCTTGGACCACCGTTGTATAACTACAGTCCTCAGACCACTGTCTCTTGTCTGTAATACTCGGACCATTGTCGCTCAACTATAGTTCTCCAACCTTCATTACCTACTAACTACAGTCCCTCAACTAACATCACATGGCTACAATCATTACAACCATTGTTGCCCTATAATGACCCTTCGACCGCTATATAAGCCTCAGACTTACAATCTTTTGACTAGTGATGCCAGGCTAATCTAACACCTACTAACTTCATCACCTATCATAACCAATAATGCTGACGTAGGCAGTCACTTATAAGATCTGAGCATGCTGTCAACATCAAATTTGACTATCAACTTAAGCACTAAGATTTTATGTTTGATGCTGGGGAGTACAACCAAAACAACGAGAAAATGACTTATTAAAGATGCCTCCCCAGCCATGGGGTTCTTCCAACTTCAACCAAATCATATATTCTATATCAACGCCTTCCCTTGAGGAGGGACATCATATATGATAGATGACAAGCACTAGTGAAATCATTTTAACTAAACCAAACCCTATTATTTTTCACTTTCACAAGTTTTTCATGTAAAAAATCTGGTGACTCTTACAATTCTTGCATTCTCTCTATTGCCACATTTGTTCTAGCACGCAACTACAATATATGCTATATACATGTGGGCTCCGAAAATTTGGCCCCGGCCTCCGCTCGCTTTTCTTTTTATTCGGCGAGAGAGTTTTAATTGAATAAGTTTCGAGATAAATTTTGGAAGGCAGATGGGTTTGTAGATAAGACACTACCCAGAGATTTCACCCTCATTTTGCGAGGACTTTATGATCTGAGTTCTGGTTTCCTATAGGCGCAAGCCCCTATAATTAATTACCCCTCCCAATCATGAGAGAGAACTTTCGATTAAGGCTAGTCGTCAATCTGATACGTAGATAATACGTGTTATCTGGCATATAGTAGCAGCATGGGCTTTGGATTTAGGAATTGTGAGGATTGAAAGATTTGAAGATTTGATATTTAAGATTGAAAATTGCTCCGTTTTGCACTTAAAGCGGATGGTGGGGGAATGGATGATAGACCTGATCAAGTTCGCATGGTTCCGTCGTCCCAGGCCATCATGGTCCCTTCGTCCCAGGCCATCATGGTCCCTGGTCTACTTAGTCAGAGGAGGTAGTCGACCCAACCTGACAGAAGGATCCTTGTCGACAGCCATGAGTTACTTTGTCCAAGGGTATCTTGTAGACCTGGGGTGAATATTTATCTAAGGGGACAAATTTGTATCCATCTTAGCTAACAGAGGGCTTTGTGCCCTATCGATCATATCCTATTGATTCATATCTCAAGGATTTAATGCTAATAAGGAATGTATTGGCTCTGGCCATAACCGGTATTTCGTTGTGCCATTTGGCGGCAAAACCACTCGGTTCAGAGGGCCCCGGGTCATAACCGTTTATCCTGCGGTGCCATTTGACGGCAAAATCGTCGGTTAGAGGACACGTACCACGTCCTTATTGACAGAAGATTGTTTGAGAATGGATCCTAGTGATATTTCGACTAGGCATTTGGCTTTATATGAGCTTAAGTAAATTTTAATTTGTCCACCCGGCAAACTGTTACGGAGGGTGGATGAGTTTTGCTTTAAGTGATCGACGGATTGAATTTTAATTTTAAATATCTGGAATTGGAATTTGTGGGATTTTGGATTTTTTTTTGGATTTTTGTGGAATTTGGGGTAGCATTTGAAAATATTTGGAATGGACCACTCCGGTTGAGATTTACATTTAACACGGCCATCATCGGGGTGTTTGAGGTCATTTCCATTCTTTGATTGAACCTTGTTGACCCTATCAACTTACCGATAGGGGATCGGGTTTCATAGACTTTGTACGCTTGTT